TTATTAACTCCTAATGTCGCTACTTAACACACTCAATGCATTTTTTCAACACATCCAATCATTTCTAAAATATCAACCTCTACCAAATGGTTGATATCGGTTAACGGTAAAAGTACTGGAATTAAAACATATACTATGAAAATCAGAAAAAAAAAATCAAAATCAAACATTTTTTAATTCTAAATAATTCTTATGTTTTTAAGTATGCCATAAAATATTTGACACTCATTTAACAGGTTTTCTTGCTTTTTTTTACAATAACACCAAAATTCAAGTGTAGTGGCGCAACAATATGCTTGTTTGTTTGTTTTTTGTAAACAAACAGTGCTGACCATATTTAAAACAGTCAGTCTTTAAGTGACTTCAACAATCATTATTAAAAACAGTGAAAATATGGTCAACAGACAGTTAAAGGGTTTAAGTACTTAATTTTTTTATTTTTTTTGCTTATAAGAATTCAAATTCAATTAACAAAATTATTATTTTTTAATTACTGGATTACTCGGGTTAGTTAAGTGTCCTATGGAAAAGATGAGTGAACTTCTGATCTGCTCAAGTTGCTAGGCAACAAGCTAGAAGAGTCTCACGCTGAACAGAACATCCATTATTACCAAAAGTTCCTGATTTTACAGAGTTACCGATTGAAGCTACAATGCGTATCCTGCTTTAATCGAACAAACCTGTAGTCTTTAGTCTCTATCTATAAAGTCTCGTTACAATGAAGAATCCAGCGAATAACAGCGCTGGGGCAGTTAGTTAAGCAAACTAGCCTGAAAACGGTCGTCAGATGAAGAGCCACCTGTGAACATCTTTCAATATCAGGATCCCATACTTGCATTTCAGACAAAAGCTATCAAGGAAGATATATCAATTCATTCGATAAGGGGCAACAGTAAAATATTTGACTTTTTATAATTTTATGATAAATACATGATTACCGTTCAATGTCATAGACGTTTGTGGTAAAATAAACAAATCTTATATTTATAAAAAGAGGAGGGGGATAAATTGTGTAAAATCCATACTGATATTTTTCACATACATGGAGACATAGGACGAACAATACACAAAGACATGTGAAAAGTTGTTATTTCGCTGTTTAATCAGATTCAACAAACAAACCAAATGAGAAGTGCGTTATATTCTTTGTCACCACAGACATAACCTAAAAGAAAGATTCCATTGCTGCATCTGAGAAGTTCCCAGTGTCACGGTATAGATGTAGAATTGTGCATTGAGGCTTTTGTCCAGTTCTCCGGGGTGTCTGCAATGTGTCTAAACATATGCGGTCATGAGGAGGTCACTAGACGTGCTGCTGCGCCGCAATGATTAATGTCATCTTTTCTATAGAGAGATGGCATGGCGTAGATTAACGTTTTCTGTACGACACGGTGAGTGGTTAAAAAGGCGTGCTCTACTTGCATGGAATATAATTTCCAGCATGCTAAATCCTGTTATATAAAGTAGACTAAACAAAAAGACTGGCTATGAAATCATTGAAAGTCAGCTTATAGCATGAATATGAAATTTCAATGACTTTAAACAAGCATTCACGAAGTATTTAGATTGTCAAATATCATTATCAAAGAAAAAAATCAATTTGCGAGTTCGTAGAATTTTTATGAATTATTCCTCTCGAATAGGAACGCAAAATTATAATAAAATAGGATAGAGGCACAGGTGCAAGCGCCGTGAAGTTGTGCTGTCAACCTGCAACCAAAGTAAACAGGACAACTTTAAAGCTATATTTTAGAATTTACTATATAATAATAGTAATAATATTAATAATAATAGCTAAGCTATTATATATATGTATGTATATATATATATATATATATATATATATATATATATATATATATATATATATACATATATATATACATATATATATATATATATATATACATACATACATACATATATATATGTATATATATATATGTATATATATGTCATGGTACATACAATCACCTGTTATATCACTATAAAACCACTTAGTACGAAGTAACAGAGCAATGAACCGTATCAAGTTTCAGGACTAACTAAGAGAGTGGCTCTGTACTAAATCTCAGTATTTTATTTTTAATTCTAACTGTTTACAGCAATGCAGCTAGACAAAATATAAATCTAGTCATTGCTTTTCACAGACAGTCCTATTTGTATGCATTATTATAAGCGACAACATCCTCAGCTCATTAAAAGCCTTTGGATTTACTCTCTTATCAGTATATGCCTAGAAAATCATCAGGATATTACAAATGTTTATCGAAGAAATTACCCCGTTGCTCTGTGCAGAAACAATAAAAGGACTATCATGCTTTAATGATATGCAAAATTGCTACTTGTAGATTTCAATTAAAGACAGACAGACCAAATTGACTGACAGACAGACAGAAGCAAGAAAGAAAGAAAGATCAGTATTTCCAAGTGCTTAATCCCCCAAATATTAAGTTTTAAATATTAATGCTCTCCAAAATGTTAGGGTACACTCTGAGCTACAGGAGTTATGGTTAAGAAACATATAGACCGCTGTATGCACAGGCCTGCGATGCATTCCATTAGTTCCTCTGTTATTTTCTACATTTGCCTCATTCCCGTTTTTAGCCATCTTTGCATGAAACGGTTAAAGCGATGTTATTATCGATGTTTTATGCAGCTGTTTGTGTCAGCAACCACAAGAGCGCAGAAGGTAGGGAGGAATTATAAAAGGGTTGACACCCAGAGCGACCGGCGCGCTTTTGTGAGAGAAAGAAAAATGATTTATTGCCAGCAACGTGGTTCAAACAGAGTTCACTGAGAATTGTAGTGTACCGGCGGAGGCGCTGAGTTATGGTCTTGCTGAGCCACTACATCAAAGATTCCTTTTCAGATTTAGTGAATGGACCCAGCGGCATGAGACAAGGGAACAAACTTACTTTAATTAGAAAATTCCCAAGATCACAGGCGACTTTCAAACAAAAAGGGAAGAGTTTGAATTATATGAAAGGTACACGGGGGACCATAAAAACCAGCCGAATAATAAAAACTCCCCAAGCCTCCACCACCAACACCACTTCCAAAAATATTAATATTAATAAAATAAAAAATGCATCGAAAATGTTTAAATAGCGTTTATTGAATATTTAATTCAAATGTGGTTATGGTACACTTGCATTCTCTGCACACTCGGGCGCAGTAATATTTCATGTTAATAGCGCTGCAGCTCGGCAGAAGCCGGACTTGTAATATGCACAGTGAATGCTTCTTTTGACAATTGTGACAGCAATTCACTGAACTCAAAATAACAAATCGTTCTTAAAAAAAGATTGATTTTAGCCTTACAACCGAGGAGGATAACCCTGTGGCTCTTTTGGTATTATTTTAATAAACAGTACATGAATGGTTATGATTGAGCTAGTTAAAAGACTCTTGTATTATACTGCCATTTTACACGTTCTTGTTTCACTGCAGTCTAAAGTAACCTTGCTTACATAGCCTAAAATGACCATTATTCAAACGCATACCTGTCCATAGTGGCAGGCCTTTCTGGCCGATTTAGGAGCAGTTATTATAAACAATCCATGAAAAATACCCCTAAAGGAGAAAGAGAGTTGTTGAGGCTATCAGTCTTTGTCTTCGAAAATACGTTAGACGTGTTATTGACAGTACTGAGTGTCTGAGTAAATACTCAAACAAGACACTGTGGAGAGTAAATGAAAAGAGACCAGTCCTTTGGTTTTCAGTGCCTGCGCACAATTAATCACTAGTGCAGGACAACCGCTGTCCGCAGCTTATGCATAGAAGGGGTGAAGTCTTTTATAATTTCAGACTGGGTATGCTACTTTATGTATAATCTTATCTACAAGCAGTAATTTTAATAAGCAATTGGCCCAAAACGAATTTTGAGTAGCCTATGTCGATAGCTGATTGAAAAAAAAAAGTATCTAGGTTGAGTGCTACATTTTCAACTGCAATAATGACCCTATTCCTTTTAGATTAGCTATATGACGTCAGATGACAAAGGCTAATTCTTAGAATTTACAAAGATTTCATGATACATTTGTAATTATTTAAACGACTTCAAAAACAAGAAGTTTCCCGACTCCAACAACTTTTAGAAGACCTTACCGCTTGTTTTAAAATGTGCTTTGTCGCCAAATCTGAGCTGTTCCAGCTCTTTGTTTATCAAGACATTGTTTTAAATATTAGTCAATGCGATTCATTCTTCAGACAATGAATTTAAGAATATTTCTTTGGTTACCAGAGAGCAATCAGCCATAACGACTATCTTCCGTGTCAGCAAAATGGAAAACTATACTCTTTTATTGCACGAAGATTCATCTTTGTTATGCATTGTCAGGCATTGTTTGACCACACCCAGTGTTTGATCACACATCATCTAGATGTCTTTTTTTACCAGGTAAAAATGAACAGAAATCTCAAATCGCGTCGGAAATATAAATACGTCATTAATAATATTAGATCCTTTTACTTGTGTTGCAATTTCCTTAACATTAAAGAAACACATTTTTACAAAGCACGATGATAGAGATAGACAATGTAGCCAATATGCTATTATTACTAAAGTATTTTATTCGCAATAAAACATCGCTAAAATGTACATCACTATTTACGTAAGATTAAAACCGGTTAAAATACGCAACTGAAGAACATTGGCAAGCGTAAGGAACTGTTGTTAGATCAGCAAAGTGTGAAATGAATAGTTATTTAACCATAAAGCTAAACAAGTCGATCATTTTTAAATACCTACCACAAGAGGACTGAAAAGTCAGTCAAAGATTTAAACATTGTTTTATAAAACATTATCACGGAAATTAAGTCAGTATTCTTCAATCCATTGAAGCAAAAACTAAGACGACGCGATCCCAGACATGTCTTTTCTCTGTCCAAAATGGGTCTCTCTCTCTCTCCCTCCCACCTCACGCTCTCTGAACTCGTGTCAGCACGATGACAGGGTAATGTATGCGCCCTGCTCATGGTTTTTCGTCTGTCCACAGGAAAATCACTCGAAATGGCAAAACAGTCGAAGAATGCGGATGAAAACGGAATCACCGTTTGGCTGCTTACATGCAGTTTACAACTCAAACACCGAGTGCGCAAGGCTATTGGAGGAGGCCACCACGTGACTACATTGTTTACTCTTGTTGGCAAACAATTAAAGACGCGAGTAAGTGTATTTTTTGGCTTTCCTACACCTCGAATGAACAATTATATATTTCGGGTGATTAGGACGATTAGAAATGAACAATAACTCGTTTCACGAATATAATTTTAACAGTGAATACTTAAACAAAATATGTTGCAATAAATCTTATGTTTGTTATATGGGGCAACATTTCTCCCCCTGTGCTCTGCAGGAGAACAGTTCTACGTGGAAACGACATGCTGAAGAAAGTTCATCAGAAAATGATAAAGGCAACGTGTGGAACTTTCAAAACCTCTCGAATGTCCAACATCCCTATTCATTCTCTGATGATGGCAACCACTCTTTGGACCCTGCGAATGCATTGGAAAGAGAAAAGGCATGTGAGCTGTCAACTTCCTGCTTATCAACCATGAAGTACCCTTGGATGAGAGAGACACATGCACCCACGCACTTCAGCTCCATTAACGCCATGGAATCAGGTGAGAGAACACGACTTTGAAGTAAATTATGCATATTGATTTCATGACTGTATTGCTTAGAAATACCCACTAAATTTAATCAGTCAGTCAGTCATATTTTAGTCGATAATGAATAACAGCAGTGTCGGATTTGGCTCGATGTCAACTTGATTTGTGCTTAAACATTGATGTCAATGACTAACACCATTGAGAACTTGTTGTTATTGATCAATTAAAAAAAAAAAAAATTCTAAAACACAAAATTAAACATGCACTTACAGGAAACATTTCAATCCTGACCACTAAAATATGTGTTTTACAGTAAATACATTGAAGAATTATAACACTAAATGCAGTTAAAATTGAAGTTTCGTTGTGATCAGTTATGGCGATTAAAATATTCTTATTATCAGGAAATTAAAATCACAAAAACTAAGAGGTCTAATGTGAATGCATTTGTAAAACAAAAGATGGTGGCATGTATACATACTTAGAGCTCTGAAAAAAAAACATTTTGTCATACATATTTTAGTATATGGATTGTGGTGTCTAACAGTTCTTATAATAATGATTCACCAAGTAAAAATATGTTCTCAAGATAAAAATGTAGCTACTGTATATGCTGCATAAAAAGGAGGGAAAGAAGGGAACTTCTAGGCAAAGTAATAATTTCTAGACACAGCCAGTTGTTCTGTGAATTTGATTAAATTTAAACTTTTACTAAGCAGCAGAATAATAAAAAAACACATCTTCAGTGAAAATTGTATATTGTCTGAGGCTATGCTTTTTCTGGGTCACACAGACAAAACTGTTTCACTTGTTTAAGCCCAAAGTCAGATTCCTACATTCACAATAGAATAGCTTCTCTACAACATACTGAAGAATGAGGCTCTTTAAGGTTTCAAAAGGTTTATATTTAAATAACAAGGGCTGCATGATATTGGAAAAACCTGACATTACGATATTTAGTTTGGCCACAATATATATTGCGATAAGTGAATAAAAATTCACCAGAGGATTGAACAGCTCTGCTTGGAAAGACTTCTTTAACTTGGATCAACTGGGAGTCTTTTTTTGCATAAATTAAAATTAAAAGTAAATACATAAACAGTGCTATATGGTTTTCTGGGTAGTCTAACAGTATTAAAGTACAGAAACTGAACCCCAAGTGTAAAACAACATGGTGAAAATGATAATATTTTAATCTTTCATGAATAATCTAATCCTGCGGTTTGACTATTGCAGATACACATATTGCAATATCGATGCCCAAACAATATATTGTAAAGAAAGAACCTTTATTTTTAAGAGAGTATTATGATGATACTGTGAAGATAATGTGGTGAAGGGCATTTTTAGTTTCCCAAAAACTCTTTAAATTATTCAATACTTAAGAAACCTTTGTTTTTAAAGTGTGAAAAGCATTTAATAACTAGACAAATCTATTTTCACTATAAGTAATCTTTTGTGAAATGGAAAGGTTATATTAGTGTTAAAAGCTCTTTGTGGAACAAGCAATGACTGGAACCTATTTTTTAGACAAAAGGGGTTTGTTCACCCAAACGGTATAGTATGTTATTTTTTTTTCTACTATGGATGTCAATGGATTAATATCTTGTTTTGTGGCTAATAGAAGAAAGAAATTCCTAAAATTTGAGTGTAAGTGTAGTGTTCATTTTTAGGATATTGCTAAGAAGGACAATAGATAAAAAAAATCCACACACAAATCATTAGGAATCTAACCACAGTAGAAATCACGTGAAATGGATAATTAACTTAGTGATTAGTCTACCAACAGTGGTCTGCCCACAGACAGTGTGTTGGATTCTCAGTACACTGATTTATCACTGGGGGTTTAAATATGCAGCTGAGCATATTCAAGGATGTCATGCTTCATTTTCATCAGCACAGTTTAAGCATCACAGAGATTTGCTCTGGTATTATGTTATGCAACACAGTAAATAAATAAACTGGGATGAGAGTTCTGTTCACTGTCTAAAACTGTGCAGCAGTCTCTGTTTGACAGATCTGGTATGCCTAAACACTTCTGTATATCTGCATATTTTCTAGGTGATTCTAAATACAGCAATGGTGAAGCAGTTGTACGGAATAGCAGCAGTAAACGGGCTCGTGTGGCGTTCACCTCCTCTCAGCTGCTGGAGTTAGAGAAGGAGTTTCACTTCAGCGCTTACCTGTGCCGCAACCGGAGACTTGAAATGGCTGAGCTGCTGAAGCTCACCGACCGGCAGATTAAAATCTGGTTCCAAAACCGTCGCATGAAGTATAAGAAGGACCACAAGGAAAAGTCAACGGCAAAGTCCTCTTACACCTACCTGGGAACAGAAAACCAGCCATTAATAATTAGCAGAAGCACAACAGATTCTCCAGTGCCATTGAAATTCCAGAATAACTATGAAACACCATCAATGAACTGGTGAAATTACAGAAAAACTGAAAACTGGTGACTTTTGCTTTTAGAACTTATATAATGATAGTAATCTGCATCAACCATAAAGACTGAAAATGAATGAATGAATGAATGAATGAATGTGTGAATGAATGAAATTTCTACAAAACATGTACATGATCTGTCACTGTTCAGCTATTTCTCCATTTGTAACTCTCTCTGACATGATTTATATTTAAAAACATTGATGATTAATTGCCTCTGGATGATGATTTATGTGCAAAGTTAACTTGGAAGAGTTCAATAGGCAAGCTCGCTCTGAACCAGATTACATGATATCAGCTAGTACATTTCAGAGTTAGTCTCTATTGTGCATAAACTGCTGTAGTAATATCTTTGCAAAGCACCAAGATTTATTGCAACCCTACTTGTGCAAGTTTATCTCTTGGGCACAGAAAATACAATTTTAAAAGGGCATTCAAGACTTTGAATGGTCATTAACATCCTCTCAACTTTTTAAGTGCACAACATATTTTTTATTACTCTCAAAATGATATGCTACTTTTCCCAAGGCATGAGCTAAAATGTACAACTTGCAGCGTTGTTCATTATGATGGTCACAATTGTTCCATGTTAAAGCCTATTGACCTGCTCTACTATTAACAATGAATTTGAATGACTTTTTTTCTGCTTTACACTGAAAGTAGGTGCGTTTAAGTCTGAATTTACAGCATATCTACTGACAAAATGAATGAAAGAGCAAAGCAGGATTTTCACAATGCTATATCAATGCATTTATAGTGTAATTACTTTACCCATTCATGTACACAAAAGTGTCAACATGGCAGCTGCAATGTAAAATATGTGCATATTTGTAATTTATACCATTTCAATTATAACCTGTCCATATTTGACAAAAAAACATGCATTTTGAAAATAATAAGTGGTTGTTTTTTAAACTGATTTATTCCCTCTGGATAGTCAATAAATAATCATTGTAATTCATGTAACTGACAATAATGTTGTTTTGTTTAGTTAAAACAGGTAATGGTGAGTCTAAATTTAGCTTAAAGGTGCTTCTGTGAATCTTACTTGATACTTTTTGAATTAGGCAATACTGTACTTTGCATTCTTAAAACATAACCTTACATATATGCCTTCCTCCGCCTCCGCCTACCAACCTCGGAACATTAATCATTTAGACAAGGCTCTCTCTCTCTCTCTCTCTCTCTCTCTCAGCTTCACAAGTGCTCAACCCGCTGGGCCAAATGACAGGCTGTGCGCTTCTCTTCCAACACACTTCTCTCCAATACGGGAGCTGAAATACATCTAGAGAAACAAGATCTGCATTTCCCCCCGCTAAAAACAGTCTATTATTGCATCCTAGCAAATTTGGACTGTAAAGTAACATTACCGGTGAAGACGCCAAGGCTTGTGGGCACCGCCCCTGGCAAGGCAGGCAATAACTCATTTTGATTAATTATGTTTAATTAGGACGTCGCCGTGTGTCATTTTATAAGCTAAGCATGGAACAGCAAAATCTACCTTTTCAAAAATATTAACTTCGGCTGAAATTTGAACTAATTGAGCAATTTCATTCAGTCATTCTTGCGTAAATCAATCTAGACATGATATAATTAGTAGCCTAACTTAGTAGCCTTAAGTGCTTCTCAACTCCATTCCTAGAGGGTTAGAAACCACTGGCTTAACTAATTTCAATACTCTTGGCAGCATTGCGCGATTAATCATAGGTTTAACTATATTCTCAACCTTGTTTCCGTTTATAGATTACAATGCGGCACATGTAATCAAGAGGATGGAAAATAGGCCTTTATTCCATTCATTCTGATTAAGGAAAAAACGATCCTGTAATGAATCGTTGAGGCTAAACCACAGAGCTAAATAAATAATCTGATAGTGTAATTTGCAGATAAGCGCGCGAACATATCTTTATACGAGTGGCCGCGAGAGGATGGAGCAGTGTCTGTGCTGCACTGCTGAACTCAACATTCATCACCATGCAGCAGTGCTCCATATGCAAAGTAGGAGTTGGCCTCCCGGTGGCCCCTTTAGTGCAACTAAACGGAAAGCTGCACTGTAAAAAATAAAATCTCAATTTGTTCAGCACACTGTACTTTTTCTGTCATATATACTAAGAATTGTGAATAACTACTGATCTACATAAAAATATATGTTATGTCAATAATATTCGCTAAAATGTTATGTCTACATGTTTACCACAGTTTTCTGGACATACATTTTTGTGTTGAACAGGTATGTTGATATTTAAATAAATTGCGCATGCGTGACGCGACGTTTGAAAACGGCGCCAACCCTCCCCCATATTGACCATTCGTTTCGCTCCTCATCTCCATTTTGTCTTGGTGCCATATCGGACTTCTCATATGTTTTCGACTCTTCGAAGAACTAAACATTAACTTGTTCCTGTAGGTGAGTAACAACACTTATTAACACTAATTCTATGCATGCAATGAATTTTACTATATTCCCAACCTGACGGTTTGTTTTTAGCGACGAGAATTATTGCATATGCTTAAGTTTCAAATGCAGTGGGTAATTAATGTGGCCTATAGTTTCAGCTAAGTCCAAACTCTTAAATGTTTCTGTGTATTCATGACATGAGTGGCGGAATTAGGCAGAGTCAATCGCTCAGGGAGGCATGTAGACCCCGCGCGACATCCATCCCGCCCACGCCCGCACCTTCGAGAGGGCGGAGGACCGTGAGGTCGGCACAGTCGTTTGCCTAACGCCAGTTAAGCTTGTGCCGCTCCTTAAGACATTAACGTTAACAGTTACTTGGGAAAAAAACGGAAACTGCTTTTCTGTGCCGTTTAAGTTTAAAATGTTTCATGTTAACACTAAAATGACATCTTTATGCTTAACTGTTAATCACTGATAAAAGATGGCTAACTTGGGGCCATAGTATTAACACATTTACGTTAGGGAATTCGGAGGTTTTGTTTGTTTTTAGGTGAAACGTTTTCATTTCTCTAGCGAGTTTTCACATTTTTCTCATTTTACGTGCTTCTCTCTGTGTGTGCACCGCCTAGTGATGGGTCGTTCTTGAACGATTCGTTTATTTTGAACGAATCTTTTGTATGACTCGAGAACGACGAGTCCTCTCTGGGAGTGATTTGTTCACTCGCGCATGCGCACATTTGTGCAGGTGGAGGAAAAGATTAGTTCATTTATCGAGTCCTCTAACGGGTTTAAGTCATTCGTTCATCACTTTAAAGACAATAGGCAATGAAATGCAATCAGAGCCGGAAAAAAATTTAAATCATCTTTCGAGACCTCTGCGTTGAGTCATCTCTCTTTACATGCTGTCACGTGATGAACGAACGAGTCAAAAACCAGATGACTCGAAAGGTGAACTAATGGCTCCTTTCGGTTCAGACTGTGCTTTGGTTAAGCTTATATGGGTCTGTCTGTGTGACGTAGGCGAACCCCTCAAATTTGAAGACCTGACAGAAGAGCTGAGCTCACATAATCATAGACAAAAGACTAGGTAAACAAACGATTATTTTCTTTTTCTTATAGCATTCAAGTTATGACTGGGCTAGTTGTGGATGCGTTTGGAATAACTTGTATCATTTTAATAATATTTTGGCAAATTGATGGAAATGACTTGTAAAAAAGATTTATTCATCTCAACGAACGAGACTCAAAGGTCCAAATCAGTAATATGATCTGAACTTCCCATCACTAAGAGCGAGTGAGACCGTAAGTTGTACTTATAAATTTGTGACGCATATATAAAGCACGGATATTCAGATTATATTAGATAAAGTAATATGTAAATGTAGTTTATATATATTTTTTTTTATAAAATATTACCTAAAACGTTATTTAATCCTGTCAAATTAATATAAATAGTTCATATTAGGTTTAAAATAGTCTTAATTTCAAATAATATATTATTACTAACTATATTACATTATTTGTGGACTCCTCTGTATACATCAATATCATATATTGATATTAATATCATTGTCTGCTCCCAAACGTGTTTCATGTTAAAATATGGGGGCATAAACTTGAAAAATGTTTAAAACTTATTTCTGTTTTCAAGATAATTTTCTCAAGACTTCATGCAGTGTAAAAACTGCAAATTCAGCACTTCAAGTGAAGATGTCCTTCTGAAGCACTATCAGCTACATCATCATAGAATGTCCAACTGGCCCTGTCTTTACACGGAGTGTGTTTGTGCTTTAAAAACTGCAGGTGCTTTACGATCCCACTTATCTAAATCACACCACAACACTGATAGAGTCAGTTGAGATCTTTCAACTTTTAATTGTGGACTATGTGAATTTCATAAGATTTGTACTGAAAAAAGATTTTTTCTTCATCTACATAATCATCTGAAACGTAAAGAAGTTAATGCAGAAGAGACATGGCAGCCATAAGTGAATAAGCCTGCACTCTTTTTTCAAGAACAGGTAAAGATAATTTTTTTCTTTCTTATTAGGCTTTAAGTTTACAGAATGCAACATGCTCTGTTTACATTAAAAATTGATTGCTGTAAATCTGGTTGGTTTGTTTTAAAAAGATCTGTGAGGAATTTTTCCGCATCACCAACAAAGACCTTCTAGGAGTCTCCATGGCAGCCACTGACAAGTACACACCAAAGCTTCTGAAATTATACAGAGCCAGAAAAGGAGCGTTTGGACATGAAATGGAAGAGCTCCTGGAAAGACTTGATGAAAGGGCAAGTTAATAATTTTCATTATTTACATGTTTTTGATCTATGTAGTTGATGATATTTCAGTTTTCATTCTGTGACTTTTTGGTTGTATCTTTTTTATGTTTTTGCAGACAACAGAAATTGTTAATCACAGAAGGACTTCTGCTTTAGAGGGCCTGCCTTTGTTTCTTCGAGAGAAACAAACTAACCTTTTCAAGAAATGTAAAGTAGGTATCAAACACTTTAAATGGTTTAAAGCATGAGTGTCCAAACTTGCTTCTGTATTGCTGGTGTCTGAAAAGTTGAGTGCCAATCTATTTGGAGCTTTCATGAAAACTTTTGATTAGCTGAGTAAAATGTTTAATTTAGGTATCATTAACAGAAATTACAAATCTTCTGACCTTAAGGTATAAGAAGTAAATTTACGTATAAACGTGTCTTGTAAATTTCATGATTCACAAGTATCTTGTTATTTTTAAAAGATTGATATCAGGTTCTATATTAGTACCAATTTAGACCTGCTCACTGATTTATGCAGGCAGTTAAGGGAAAGAACATGTAAAAGAGATGCAAAAGAAACTGTTGCTTTGTCTGTTATTACATAAAATTAGAGTTGTGCCGAGAGTCTGAGACGTTATTCTTGTCAACCAAAATGGCAGCTGTTGTATTCAGAGTACAACATATCAGCATTTATTTATTTATTCATTTATGACAGTATTTTAAAATAAATCACTTAAAATATTTAAAGTCCAATTACTGCATTAATGTTGCATATGAATCCTGATGATTTATGCGTGTGTAGATCTGGGCTCCTTGTTATTTACATGTTGTCAGTTTAATTGTTACATTCACTTTTGCTTAACGATTTGAATTATAACACTATGTCTTCCTACAGACAAACTACACATTACATAGCATTTTTATGATCATAACTATTTGATGTAACTGGTCATTTTGCTTAACTGCAATTAAGTTTGCATGGTCATTGTATTATGCTGGTTTATTATTTTTACAGAATGTTCATATTTCTGAAAGATAACTGTATGTATTTTTAACTGAATAAATAACTTTATTACAATTATTTAAATGTGTGTGTTGTTATAGCCCTATACTAAACATATAATATCTTGCTTGTTTGTAGATAAAGTACTATAATGACTTTCTATGCTCAAATATTCTTATTGTGTTTTCACAGGAAACTGAAGATAGAACAAAGGGCGTATCAGTTGGCATTCTCTATGTTACGGAAGATGACTACCGGGCAGCATCACCAGTGATCCAGAACATTGCTGTTGTACTGGAAGAGGTTGTTGTTTTGGAAGACATTCCAGATACCTCAAGTGCTGTAGCATACCTCTTTGGCCTTCTTCATGCACTCAACTTTTCCTATCCCAAAGAACTCCGGTACACTTTTGACACAATTCAGAATGTTTTCATGGAGCTTGGGACTGGATGTACGCAACGTTAGCTTACTCTTAAAAACAAGATGTTAAACTAATACTGTAAACAGTGTTGTGTCAATGGTCTGATGTTACAAAGACCTAATGTACAATTTGAGTACTAAATCTGATTCATGAGAGCCACTGTTTAGGCACTGTGTTCAGTTAAATGGGTAACATTTCATAATAACTACACACTATGAATCATTTATTAAGCATTAGCAAATAGTTAGTTCATTATTTGTTAAGTATTAACTCTAATAGGCATTAATAAGCACTTTATAAATACAGCCACAACTGGCTATATTCTTAAATTGTAATTAATTGCATTTTCATACTTTGTTAATGATTCTTTTTTTCATTACATAAGTATTGCATTATTTACAAACCAGTTATTTAAGAATAGGTGGTGGTTTTTTCCAGATCATTCAGAATGTGAAAGTACATTATTAATAAACTATTCAAATAACGTTCATATATCTTATTATTCAGGCATATACTATTAGTTTATTTATATATTAATACACGCTTTATTAACTCGACTTCATCCAGTTTTGTGACCTAAAGTGAGGACTATTTATGCTTTATAAATCACTTATAAATGACTATTAAAGGCTCAGTTATATTCCGAACAGGGAAAAAGAGCATGAACTATTTCATTCATTTCTGTTTATTTAATGATACACAAATGAAACTATCAAATGAAAGAAAAATCTTTGCAACCTTATCTAAAATGAAGTTACTGTACAGTTTACACTTTGCTAAATAACACTGAAATGTTATATCTTAATATATTGTTTTATCCAATTTTATTCAATTGTATTTATTGCTAATTGTATTTTGACATTTCTGTTATTCGGCGATGTTTAAAGTTTACAGTAATTTTATTTTTTTAGATTAGATTGCAAACATTTATTGTTCATTTGATACTCAGCTTTTTAATTGTCATTTATAAGAGATTTATAAAGCAAAAATAGTCTCACTTTAGATTAGGTCACAAAAATGGATGAAGTTGAGTTAATAAAGCATTTATTAACATACATAGTAACCATTACTATATGACTGAATAATAAGATATATAAATGTTAATTTGAATAGTTCCATTAATAATTTACTAACTCATGCTGAATGATCTTAAAAACCACCAGCTACACTTAAATACAAATGGTTTGTAAATAATGCAATACTGAATTCAGTAAGGAACAATTAATAAAAAGCAAAGTTTGAAATACAATCATTAGCTTATAACAGCATTTGTAGCTGTATTTATAAAGTGCTTACTAACGTCTAATAATGTAGAGTTAATGCTTAACAGATAATTGATTAACTATTTGTTAATGCTTTGCTAATGATTCGTAGTGTGTTGTTATTATAAAGAGTTACTGTTAAAGGTTTTAAAATTAAAAGGTTTACATTTTAATATTTAGATTTTGTCAAGACACCCAAGCACTTAACTTTTGTTTTGGTTTAAATGTTTATGGAAACTGGTGTCCAAATCAACCCTTTTGTTTATAATTTGTGCATAAAAGCATTCAAAGCAAATTTAGTTTGTGTTAAATGCAATGTTTAAATTGTTAATTTCTGTGCTGTTGTTACAGTTAAAATGTTAAAGCTTGCATATGTGCCTGCAAATTAGCAGAAAAGTCTGTATACTGCAAAGTTTGTAATTTGAAGCACTTTTCATCTAAAATATTTACAAATGTTTGTGCTATTTCCTGTTGTAAAGCTTATTTATCTGTTGCTTTCAGTGGAAATAAATTGAAGAAGTAGTAAGTTTGTGTTTGTCATTTGTAAGTAGAATGATTAAAACAGAATGATATGCTAACTAGTACTAATTACGTATTTTGCAAATTTGAAAAAAAACATCCACTAAACAGAAAAAAATTAATTGACTCAATTGCAGTAACTGTTGCTTTAGTTGATGTGACAAGAATATCTTTATTAGTATAATACTATAATCAATATTGCATGAACAAAGAAAATTATGTTAGCTCAACTAAATATTGTTACTGAGAAGAACTAAAAAACAGTTGTTGAGACAACTCAAAGTTCTTACTGCATCAAGTTGCCTTATTTTTTTATGTTTTCTCAACAATTTTTTTTTTACAGTGTGAGCACTCTGCTGTATTTAAACTGTATCAAAAGCTAGCCTGCTTGCTTGTTTATATAAAATCTAAAACCTCCACATGGACGGAAAATATCAATTTAATGTTCCTAATAAACTATTTGTGCCCGTTTATAATTGTATTTTAATAAATAAAAAAAAAATCCTAAAGTGGATAGTATATTGAAATATATATATTGAGGAAAGTGAGGCCTGCAGTACTTTGGATGTTGCTGTGAGGTTTTCTGTGAGCTCCTGGATGCTCTTGACATGATTTTGTCTGGCCAGCCATTCCTGAGAAGGTTCTCCACAGTTTCATGTTTTAAATACAGCTGAAGTCAGAATTATTAGCCCCCTGTATATTTTTCCCTAAATTTCAGTTTGAAAGAAGATTTTTTTTAAACACATTTCTAAACATAATAGTTTTAATTACTAGTTTTTAATAGCTAATTTCTTTTATCTTTGCCATGATGACAGCACATAATATTTTACTAGATAATTTTCAAGATAATAGTATTCTGCTTAAAGCGCAATTTAAAAGCTCAACTAAGTTAGTTAGGAACCTCGGCTCAGTTGGTATTTCTGTGTGGAGTTTGCATGTTCTCCCTGCCTTCGCGTGGGTTTCCTCCAGGTGCTCCGAAAGACATGTGGTGCAGGTGAATTGAGTAGGCTAAATTGTCCTTAGTGTATGTGTGTGTGTGTGTGTGGATGTTTCCCAGAGATGGGTTGCGGCTGGAAGGGCATCCGCTGCGTAAAAACTTGCTGGATAAGTTGGCAGTTCATTCTGCTGTGGCGACCCCGGATTAATAAAGGGACTAAGCCGACAAGAAAATGAATGAATAAATAAGTTAGTTAGGCAAGTTATAATAATTAGGCAAAAAAAGTGTATTACGATGGTTTGTTCCGTAGCCAATTTTTAAAAAATTGCTTAAGAGGGCACTGTAAAAATTCAAAAGAGAGTTAATCATTTTGACTATAACTGCATATGTACACAAATAAAGTCAAAATTATTAGCTCTCCTGTGAATTTTTTAGAGAGACTCCTTAAGCAATATGTTTTTTCAATTGGCTACAAAACAAACTATTGTGTACATATATTAGGTACACCTTACTAATAGCGGGTTGGACCCCCTTTCGCCTTCAGAGCTGCCCTAATCCTTTGTGACAAATTTAACAAGGTATTGGAAATATTCCTCAGAGACTTTGCTCCATATTGACATGATAGCATCACGCAGTCGCTGCAGATTTGTCGGCTGCACATTCATGATGCAAATCACCCGTTCCACCACATCCCAAAGGTGCTCTATTGGATTGAAATCTAGTAACTATGAAGGCCATTTGAGTACAGTGAACTCATTGTCATGTTCAAGAAATCAGTCTGAGATTATTCGCATTTTATGATATGGCGATTTGTCTTGCTGGAATTAGCCATCAGATGATAGGTACATTGTGGTCATAAAAAAATGGACATGGTCAGCAAGAATATTCAGGTATGCTTTGAGGTTGACACGATGCTCAATTGGTACTAATGGTCCTAAAGTGTGCCCAAAGAAAATATTTCCCACAACATTAAACCACCAGCAGCACCACCCTGAACCGTTGATACAAAGCAGGATGGATCCATGCTTTTATGTTGATGCTAAATTCTGACCCTACTATTCGAATGTCACAGCAGAAATCGAGACTCATCAGACCAAACAACGTTTTTCCAGTCTTCTATTGTCCAATTTTGGTGAGTCTGTGCAAATTGTAACCTAAGTTTCCTGTTCTTAGCTGACCACAGTGGCACCCAGTGTGGTCTTCTGCTGCTGTAGCCCATCCGCCTCAAGGTTGGACATGTTGTGCATTCAGAGATGCTCTTCTGCAAACCTTGGTTGTAACAAGTGGTTATTTGAGTTACTGTTGCCTTTCTATCAGCTCAAAAAAAAAGTCTGCACAAAATGAGTCAGCTCATTATCCTGACCTCTGGCATCAATAAGGCATTTGCGCCCACAGAACTGCCGCTTAATGGATATTTCCTTTTTTTTCGCACCATTCTTTGTAAACCCAAGAGATGGTTGTGCATAAAAATCCCAGTAAATCAGCAGTTTCTGAAACACTCAGACAGTTTAAAACAGACCAAAAAAGTATATTATTTTTGTTTTAATATAATTCTATATAATTCATAATAAATATAAAAAAAATCTTTTAATAAATTGTGTAATTTTGTTAAATTTATGAGTTTGTATTTTGACATTTATATATTTAAGAATTTGTTTGTGTATTTATATAAACACATACAAACAAGGGTGTGAAAAAGTGTTTGCCCCTTACTGATTTCTTATTTTTCCATGTTTGTCATTTTAATGTTTCCATCAAACAAATGTAATTATCAATGATTAATAAGTGAATATATCATGTAGATTTGAAATTAGGGTTTTTATTATTAAGGGAACAACAAATAATAAAAATACAAAACTACATAGCCCTCTGTAAAAAAGGTTTTTGCTTATAAACTTAATAACTGGTGATGCCACTCTTAGCAGCAACAACTGCAATCAAGCATTTTTGATAACTTGCTATGAGTTTAGGTTAATGTGGGGGACTGTTGGCTCATCTTTCCAGAATAATTCAGCTACATAGGAGAGTTTGAGCATGAATCACCTTTTTAAGGTCATGCCACAGCATCTCAATTGGATCCAGGTCAGGACTTTGACTAGGCCACTCCAAAGTCTTCATTCAAGTTTTTCTTCAGCCATTCAAAAACGTGGACTTGCTGGTGTGCTTTGTATCATTGTCTTACCACAGAACCCAAGTTTGCTTCAGCTTGAGTTCACTAACAAATGGCCGGACATTATCCTTCAGAATATTTAGGTAAACAGCAAAATTGATGGTTTCATTTATCATTTTATTTTGTCTTCCAGGTCCTGAAGCTGCAAAATAGCAACAAATCATCATTATACCACCACCACATTTTACGCCACATATCTTCCACAAAGTTTAACTCATCTCGCCAGTCCACAAAGCATTTTCCCATAAGTCTTGAGATCATCATGATGATTTCTGGCAAAACTATTATGAGCCTTTATGTTCTTTTTACCTTTATGTTCTTTTTTTATGCAAACCATTTTTGCCCAGTCTCTCTCTTATGGAGTCACAAACACTCACCTTAACTGAGGCAAATGAGGCCTGCAGTACTTTTGGTTTTGTTGTGAGGTATTCTGTGAGCATTTTAATGACTTCTGTGAGCTTCTGAATGATTTTAAGTTAATTTTGGTCAGCCGGCCACTCCTGTGAAGGTTCTCTACGGTTCCATGGCTCTCACCGAGGGTCACAGCAGTCCAGCTTTAGAAATCGATTTATTAGTTTTTTCCAACTGGTAGATCTCAATTTTCTTTCCCATTTGTTTTTGAATTTCTTTGGATTTCGGCATGATGTCCAGCTTTTGAGGATATTTTGGTCAACTTCAATTTCTAAGCCAGATCTTAAGTAATTTCTTGAATCAGTGAACAGGTGTGGAAGTAATCAGGCCTGTGTGTGGCTGGAGAAATTAAACTCAGGTGTAGACTTAAGTTAGGTTTTAACAGGGGACAAACATTTACTCACACAGGGCTATGTACTTTTGGATTTTGTCTTCCCTTAATAATGAAAACCATTCATGAAGTGTTTACTTGAGTTATCATGATGACATGAAACATTAGGATGTGACATGCAAACATGCAAAAAATAAGAAATCAGTAAAGGGCAAACACTTTCACAACACTGTGTGTGTGTATATACATATATCATTCACTCACCATCCTTAGGCTTAGTCCCTGATTTATTAGGGGTCACCACGGCAGAATGAGCCGCCAGTTCTGGCAAACTGTATGTTTTATGCAGCGGGTGATCTTCCAGTCGCAACCCAACATGAGAAACACCCATACTTTACATTCTCTCACTGAAACAAACTTATACACTATGGCCAATTTAGTTTATTCAATTCACCTATAGCACATGTCTTTAAACTGTGGGGGAAACCAGAGCAAAACCAACGTGAATATGGAGAGAACATGCAAACTTCAGAGAATTGCCTCCTGGCACAGCCAGGACTCAGAAACCTTCATGCTATGAGGTGACAGTGCTAACCGTATATGATTTAAAATCAATAGATACAATTTACCAACACAAAAATTATATGAAATTACACAAATATATATTTTCTTAAACATATATATTTTTATAAATATAAAATATTATATTCTTATAAATAAAGAAATATAGAATTTTTATACTATATTATACATTTAATTTATTACATGTTATAAAAAAATAGAAAAACAATAGTCATAAAACAATTGTTATATTTGCACAGCACAGCAGTGTATATAGGAAACACCACAAATAAGAAATCTGCCAGTAAACTAAAGGCGGCTCAAGATCTAATTCAGACACAGAACTGTATGAGCTTTAGTTCACAGTAAAGAGAGCAGCACAACAGCTCTACTCCATTTCTAAATCCATCACTGAGCTCAATATGTAATTAATTTGCAGAAAATCAGCTGCAGAGAAATTCCTCTTTGAGTGTTCAGGAGGAAAAGATTTAGTGGACTGACTTGAAGAGAGCAGAAGAGAGAGAAAGATGGAGGCTGCGCTGGATTCTTTACATTCTTGTGTGCTTGAACTGACCAGCCATGATTTACGAGCACATT